TCGGGTCACTGCCTTGTGTGGTTCGGGGCCCAAGGGAGAGTTCGGGCTCCTCGTAGGGAGTTTGGACTGCTGGTTTCTTCCCTTTGGTGCTTGTGCCCTGGGTACGCTGTTAAGTGCCGAGCTATTTGTTTTTGCCATGTGGAGTGATTGCGAGGTCGGGCCATATTGTAACGGCAGATTTCAATAGAAGACTAACGAAGGGGGTCTTTGTCTCAATCATAGTACAGGGGAGTCTTTATCGCAAAACAAAGTACAAGAGGGTCTTTATAATTTACCCAAATAATTAAAAGGCTCTTGAGGCAAGGCCAAAGGCCTACTAAACCTCAAGGCGAGGCTAAGAAAAAAAAGGCCTGGCCTCAAATGCCTCAAACCTCATCAGCAAGGCCTAGGCCTTGAATTGTTTGAGGCTTACACGCCTTTGGGCCTTTGGCATCAAAATGTCCAAGGCTTGGACCTCAATTATTGGCATGTTAATCTTGAATATAAAGGTTTATATAGGGTAAAACAGAAATTCAAGACAAAAAAAAAGAATGCCTTATTTTGTATATATTGGAGTATTGAACAAATAAATAAACATAGAAATAACAAATAAATGCATATAATTAATGTTTGTACTTTATTCTTACCCACTTGACCATTTACCCTATACTTGAAAATCTATTTCTTCTGAAGTACATGCATCACATAGATGGTCTAGTCACTATTCACTAATGTATACAAATGCAAGAAATAAAATAGGAATCCTTGCTTTTAAAACAATGTTGGTTCATTTCCCTAAATTGTAAAGTTTGACTTATGTGATTTTATTCTTCTAGTGTTTAGAATTTAGGGAAAAAACTATTTTGGTAAGATTCTAACCCATGCAAGGTTTAAAATATTAATACAATACACCTAGTATCAAGTGTTGATACTCGATACACCACCATCCTGGGGAATATGGGTCAAAGTGTTGATACTTGATACAATACACCTAGTATCAAGTGTTGATACTCGATACAATACGCCTAGTATCAAGATGTATATGACTATATGGGCCAAAGTGTTGATACTCGATACACCCATTTCAGCATATTGGGGTGCATCGATAATTTGAACAATGAACCCATGTCTAATATACAAACAAACCATATAAGATCTTAATTTTATGTTTTTCATGCATTTTTTGTTTATGGATTATATATTTTTTTCTTGAGAATTACGCCTCAAAACAACTTGAGGCTTGTGCCTCTCCCCTATGAGATCCAATTGCCTCACCCCCAAATTTAGCCTTTTAAAACCTTGGTTTATAGTAAGGTGACCTTGTAAACCTTGGTAGAGAAGGTTCAAAGAGTATTTAGAAGGGCAATGTTAAGATGCATCAAGATACGCTTTGGGATATGGTGGGAAAATTAAGAGACTCATGGATACGTTAGGAAAGCTCAAATAAAGAATAAAAAATATGCATGTGTAGTTTTTAAATATATTATTTTCAATAATCAATTTTTTAACATTTATTGATGGACATACACCAAGAATAGAAAATGTCTTAAAGCTAAGATTTTAAATCCATGTAAGTATACCAAATATCTGAAGCATGGTGTACAGGTGTAGTAGTGAATTTGTTGTCTTGCAACCTAAATCCCTAGGTTTAATCACTTTACATGTAGTTTTAGAGAGAATTTATGGTGAATCTGCTGCAAAGTGCATCAAAAGACGTTAAATGAATGTGAATGTATATTTTATGAAACTTGAATTAATGAAAAGTAAGTAATATTAGTGAATATTAATGAGTATTCAACTAATATTTGGATTTAACGTACAGCCAATATTAGTGAATAATACACCGCAGTTGAATTCATAGTTTTAACATCAAAAGATTATGATATGTTCTCGTCCTCTTTCACTAGGGGATGGGCCATGCGTTATGGACTACTAGAAGACTAGCCCATTTGGGGCCCCTAATTATGTCAAGGGGCTGTGTATCTCGCAATTACTCAAATTAAAGGCAATTATAATTCTCACACATGGTTTTGTTATTAATGAAGGTTTTCAAAAACTGAAGTTTTGGTTGTTTTGGTCTCTCGTTCCAAAATGAAATAAACCAAAACTTCATTGTTTGAATCACCGAAAAATATGCTATTAAATATTTAATGTCCTAAATGTTAGTAGAAAAGGTTAAAAACCTAGTAATAATTAAATTAATTCAGTTATTTGAAATGTTCTGAAAATTTTGAGATACTCCATAACTTTCTGCCAAATCTTCTAGTTTAATTGATACGGCTAACCTTTGCTGGGAGCCTGGAACTGGAAGGAAGAAGAGGTCAATAGATGCTTCGATCCGATTCAAAGTAGAGCCATTTTGGGCATTAAGATATCAGAAACTTGTGTTGGTCAGTTGGTGGAGACTGGAGAGGATGAACTTGAAGCATGGTTTTTTGACCACGGGCCACGGCTGGAAGCTATAAATCCTTTGAAGAACCTTGAGCCTGTATCTTCTTCGATTCAATTAACCAGCATTTTGACCAGTGGTGGGGCGATTGTAACTAAACTTTGGACCATCTCTTTGTTCAATGCAGTCTCTCTCTCTCTCTCTCTCTGTGCAAAATGCAGTATTATTCTATGGCATATGTGGAAAGCTGGGGTCGGTGTAAATCTGCTTTGAAGAATAAAGTTAACTTTGATGGGGGAACAGGTACTACTGCATCTGATACTCTACTGTCAGCATCATCAGGGACCATAACTAATGGAGTTTGTCTTTGCCAGAGTCACAAAAGGACCCTCTTGTTCTGCGGTGGAAGCGGAAGCTGGAGCTTTGTTAGACGCTTTGAAGTTTGTACTTCGTAGTTGATCTGCACTTCGATAGAGTAATCTTCAAAGGGGATGTGTTAGAAGTTATAAATGCTCTATTTGAGATTTCCTCTCCTCGGCCCTCCATCAAACACCTATAGTTTGACTAAATTACTTAAATATACCCTAGCTATGGTCTGTGGTGATAGAACTTTGGTTTTTCCTGTTATGGGTGGTCTTTCCAATGTTTTTCCTGTTAAACACCACAAGATAGAACTCTTCAAGTTTCCAAAGCCTTCAGTAGTCATCGCTGTTCCTGTTCTCAAAGAGCATGCTTTGAAAATTCATGGAACAGTCACGGGCATGTTTGTCCTTTAATTTTTCCATTAACCTTAACCTCTGAATGCATTAACCAGTATATTTAAGTAGTTATGGAAAGTAGGGGCCAGGGGGTATATTTAAGTACGTAGTTTAGTGAAACCAGAGGTTATATATAAGCAATTAATCCGAAGAAAAATTATATTAACCCAACTGCATTTGCATCATGGCCTTTCAAAAAAGCCAAAAAGGTTAAGCTATATTAGAAGATTCACATCCAATCATTTTCCACTACTTAATTAATTGGTGGATCTAACAATTTTCTTCTTTTTAGCCTTGAATTTTGTTAGGTCATGGAACCTATTTATTTAATATAAGTGACTTGTTACAAAAATATGTTGTAAAAAAGCCTGAGAATTTTGTCATTTTAAGCCCAAATTAGAATTAAGGGTAAATTGTAGATTAATACCCTGTACTTTGGGGTTAACCTTAATGCTGAAGAACCAGTGCTTCCCATCAAAGAAGCTATATGGAAAAATGTTGCCCGAGAAGATGACATTGTTACCAGAGAACTATATTTGATCTTTAATTTCATTGTTTTAAAAATTTTTAAAAATAAAACAGAATCTAGAGGAGTCATAGAGAGGAATTATAACATCCAACAAAATCTTAGTCCAGGTCTAAAAAGTTATAGATTCGTAAGTAGAAATATCAAGTCCATTTTAATACACCCCAAACCAAATATAAGTCTCTTATCCTGTTAATGCATTTATATGGCCGGGGTTACATCCATATATAAACAAATCCAGTTTTGCTCTCTTTTTCTGAGTGCATGCAAACACAAAAAATTTCATTCATTTTGGTGTAGAAAGATCAGATGATACAATGTTGACAATAAAGTCCGGCCAGGCAAAAGGACTAGCTACAAGGGCGTTTAAGACTAAGGGCTTTTCTTGTTTGCAGTTCACCAGACACTTGAAATTGAGACAAAAGGAAGGCGTAATAAATGGAACTGATACACCATGGTGGTTCAAAAGAACGCACCAACAAAAGACTTAATTTATAAATTATAATTAGAATGGCCTCATTCATTTTTTTCAAGTAGTAGTGGGTAAGTTGGTAGGTCCTATGAAAAAGAATGATTTCCGAGCCATTCATTTACTTGGCATAGTAATGCTCTCTCCAGACTTGGATAAATTGTTTACCCATATGTACTAAAAATCGCTAATATATGATGGGATAATATTATCCCTTCAATAATGACACTTTTTTTTTTTGGATAAAGCAGTCATTGTACATCTTTACCTGAGGAATAAAAGAACATTGGTAGATCTTTTTTTTAGATAAATCATTTACCAAGACGCAAATGAGGCTTAAATATCAATGCTTTCAACCTGTTGTTATATCTATGAGATGATACATCACCCAATCAAGTTTCTAGGTCCATTTAGGCTTTGAACCATTTACTTGCGAGAAAACATTGATCCAGTCAACAACCTAGTGATCCATTAACCATCCAGTTGAATTTTGACTGGGTCAGGTCACATGTTAAATATATAATTCCTTTTTTTTTTTTTTTTTTTGAATTCTCAGCCATTTCCATCATTGATAACAACAATTCTCGACTACTTCCATCTGGTTGAACCAAGTTTTTCTTGTTTCTTTTTTTGCAATTTTATCTATTTTTACATTTTTGTTATATTATTTCTCATGTCATGCATGAACCCAAACGGTCAAACTACTAACCCAATACGGGTCATGAATATAATACAAATGAATCCTATGCTAATTATTTGTTTAATTAGTTGTTTTAGTTTAAGATTAGAAAATGAGATTTCTTAATCATTATATATTATTTAAAGAGTTATACTTTTCTACTCAAATCATCGATTGGATCAGGATTTACTTACCTCAACCAGTACTAGAACTAGTTCCTCACTTACTATTATAATAACCCTAGATCTTGGGCAATTATACATAGTCCATTAACCAGGTTGGTTGATTTTACCCTTACAACAAAGTAGCTACAAAGAAGTCTTATGACAGCAAAAAAGCACTACACATATACTACTCATACATGGAGGTGACATTTCCTATCTCTCAGTAGTTGCAGTTGTTGAAGTTGCCAATGAAACTGGGTATATATTGCACTCCAAGCCCCATTCTCAGTAGGAGACTGTCTGACTCTTCAAGGTTTGGCATTAGGAAAGCAGTTTCTGGAACTGGAGTTGCTAGAAGAGATGCACCAGCAACCTTTCCCCAACCAAAATCAAGTGCTTGGAAGGGAAACTTGAGCCAGTCTGTTACGATTGTCAGTTCTCTCATTGAGGGAAAGAATTTCTCTGATGACTCAAGAGCCTTCACATACAACTTTGAGTACTCACCTGTGATTTCATCTTTTGCCACTTGAATTCTCTTGACTGTGCTGTGAAGAGGTTCTTCTAATAGATCCTTCACCATGCAGGAAACCGAAGCCAGAACAAAAGCATTGCCAGTGAAATTCTTGCCCAGTGGTGGTTGGAATCTGTTTCGGGAATCCACAGGGAATTGCAAACAAATATTTGTGTTTGGAGGTAGAACAAGAGTCTTCACTCTTGCCTGAAAGATGACAAATGTACAGTACCAAGATAATTTCAACCATTTTTTTATATAAAAAAATGCTAGAGCAATCTGTTACATAAATGCATACATATGTGGATGCCCTTGCACATATAAAAGATCTGGCCCTAGAAGTGATTTCATCAACCTATATTCCTTTCTTGGAGCATTCTGTAAATATATATTGTAGATGTATATAATAGCAAGTGAACCCATACAAATGCAAGAGATTGAATAGAAATTTGGTTAGGTTAGGGTTCGCAAATTTCACTTCTGACATTGGTTTGGTTCCAGACCAAAGTCCATGTTTAGGGTTGGTCTTGGGTTGGCCTAATCCCATAATCAAACCCATATTTTTTAGAGAGGATCAAAAGGGATTCAAAGACATTTGAGAGTAAACCAGGAATTATTTTGACTCAAAACAATATGGGATTTAATAGGGGAGGAGAGATGATACAAAAATTGACTATATATTGAAGAGGGAGAGGAAGATTTAAGAATATATGGCTTTATTAGAGAAGTAATGATAGATTTTAATAGAGAAAATTAAGATATTAAAGGGTTTTTAAGAGGAAGCATGTTTGTACATTAATGAGATGTATGAAACTTTATGATAGGATATGAAGACCCAATTTTAAAGATCTTTTTCATTGTAATGAATTCTATATTTTAATTTTTCACATGTGTGAATGAGAGAAAAGGAGACTTCCTGTGAGGCCCGTGTGAGAGACCTTTGGCCTCAACATACTCCTCTTTCTATAACTCCACACACAAATATAACTGTAGGCAAGTTTGGAGTAAGATTTTAAAAGGCTAAAGGTGTACTTTGAGGCATAATGGCCAAAAAAGTGAGGTGTAAGCCTCGAACCTTAAGAATAAAATTAATTAACGTTTACAAATTGATAAAATAACATATAATACATCAAGTTAGAATAATAAAGGTATAAATATTCATAATATAAAAGTTTGTAAGTCATAAGTTTCGGCATTTAAGCATTAAATAAAATAATAACTAATCAACTAACAATTATAAACATTTTACATTTTATGTTTCAAAATGCAAAGTTCTCACATAATTCAAATGGCCAATTTAGAAGAAAGGAAAATATGAAGAGTTATCCATATAATTGGATATTAGATTTACAACCATTCAATAGTTTAGAAAAAAGAAAACAACAACTAAGAACTTGATTTCCCCTATTGGTTTTTCATTTTTACTCTTTTTATTTATTTAGCCAATAATTATTGAAGTGCTTCTTCCTATAACCATTGATACTTGAGGCTTTTATGCCTCAAATAAACTACATTTCATGCCTTGGAGCTTGAGGCTTACGCCTCATTCTAATAAAGTTGTGAGGTTTAAGCCTTGAAGCAAAATTGGTGTGCCTTACCCCAGGACTTAAGCTTTTTAAAACAATGGTTTGAATTAAAATTTGAATACAAGAGTCCAAAATGTAAAAAGTAATAATAATTAATAGGATGACAACATCTCTTTTGTCTATCAAGTTTTTCTTTCAACCATACACAAAAATTATGGAACATGTTGCTTTTCAAAAATTGTTTTATGTTATTGTTTCTCAGCATGAATATAGCAAATGCTGCATTCCCTTGTGAGATCTCAATGGAGAATGCATGCTGTAGAAAATCTTATGCCTAAATTAAGTTTGACACTCTATCTCTCATGAATTCTCTGTATATAGCAAGCTTATACAGCCCAACCTAATATAGAAACTCCACCTAATATGAATATATACCCATCCCCTGAGATAAACCGATACATAAACTTCAAAGTTTTATAATTGCAAACTACTAAAACAATTTTCTTCTTAGTTTAAGATGAAATAGTTTGAGCCTTTGAGGAATACTTGGGTTTATTTTCATTGGGGTTATAGATAAAAATAACTTAAAAAGAAATTAGAAAACATGGAGCTAATACAACTGTTATGGTCACACCATCCGGCAAGGCACCGCGGCGCAGTCATAGGCAGCAGTCCACACAACAGGCCGCACAACAGTGGGCACCGCCTGGCAGCACTGCAGCATGCACCGCCGATAGTGCGCAGGACGCATCGCCAGGCAGCAGCGCACACCGCACGGCAGCACGCACCATGCACACGCCCGGCACCGCACGGCAGCAGCACCATGGCGCGCAGCACGCACCGCCAGGCAGCAACACACACCGCACGCACTGCATGCCAGCACGCACCGCGCACACACACGGCTCCGCACGGCAGCGGCACCATGGC